GTCTTTCTCCGAAAGAAAGAAAAAGATATTTGTGTTATGTCAAACAGTCCAGGCCCTCACCTCTGCCCTTACTGCTTGTCCTCGTGCCTTCCAGTGCAGCTCCTTCCAGTGCTATTTCCTGTTGTGTCACCTTGGCACACTGCTCACCAGGTACTACCGCCCTGTCGTTCTGTGCGTTTTCACGGTGGTTTCCAGAGCTTCGGCATAGTTTATGCCCTCCTTAGCTTTAGTGGGTTTTGCTGGTTTGTAATGTGAGCGTATGCTTGGCGGGAAGAATGTTGCCACAGCCCAGCACAAACGCCCAAGCTTTGCGCTAGTTATTTTCCTTTTGTTGTTTATCCGTGAAGCTCATGTTTATGCTGGTGATTCGTTCACCTTGCGGGGCATCAACGCTCTTGGTGCATTGCGGAATAATTGCCACTGCTCATCACTTCTTCTCGTGTAGTCGTAGGGTGGTTTTCAGAATTTCCGGATAGACCACACGCAACTTAGGGTGAGATATTGTCCTCCAGCCTTTGGTTGTCTTATCGAGGTTGGCTGTAAGTTGTTGCATGGTCCCTCGATATGCCACAACCGTAGTGGAGGCACCAATTTGCTGATTTTTGGCAGTTTATATTCATACTACTCAACCATACGGGTTGCGGCACCTCGATGTTGTTGATGCAGGACTCACCAGTTGTTAACTAAGTTTTGTGCTTTTGGGCCACACAGGTTCAAAGTTTGTATCGCCTTAACGCTTGCAGTTGCGAGGTGAGTTTCAGAGTTTCGACATGCTACACAACTGGCAGTGTAGGATCGCGCAGGGCTCTGATGTGGCGCAATTCGAAATACACAGACGTTTTTTCTGCTCTGGCTGTGCTGTCAGAGTCGTCATGGATTTAAGTGCGTGCAAGTGCACAGCCTGGATGCTGACATCAAACCACGAAAGATACTATAAATTGTCAGGCGTTTTTTATTTGTTCAGTCTGAGCAATGGCGTGGCCTTGCCTAAATTTTCCCCTCAGGCACGCCCTGTCATGTGGCGGCTGAAATCATTTGTTGTTAAGCTTTCATGGCTCAGTGTAGTGCGTTGCATCGTGACGAAGCGTCTTCGCGTGCAAGCCATAGGAGACCCGTGATCCGACGAACCTCTAAAGGTAGAATTGTTCTAAGCATTTCGTTAATCCCAGTAAGTGAGTGACTTTCTTTGCGTTGAATGTCGCAATGGCGGCTTTCCTTATTTGTTCCGCATGCATTGAGGTTTCTTCTCTAATAGATGCGCTGTTCACCGTCCCTTTTCTGAATATTCTGGACAGGAACTGAATTTATTTTTAACTTCCTGTTAAACTTTCCGCATGCCATTATCTCCTTCCAGTGGAACACCCTGAGCTTTCTTAGCTAGAGTGCACTGCGCATCTAGTCAGCTCGCATCACCAGTACCGTGCCCCTGTGCTTGGGGCAGCAAGGACCGTTGTAGCCCTGTTACCATCAAACACAGAGAGACGACAAAGAGCAAGGGCAGTCTCTATATGCTAAAACGCCCAGTTCTCATGGAATTTGTTTCAAAGTAGTAGCAGGTATTTCAGACGGGCTTCAAGAGGTAAAAACTAGGGCATTAGCTGCATGCTTTGTCGTGTCGTTTATTTGTCTCTGGATCTCTCTTCTGAACGCTTTCTAGGTGTTGCTTTTCTTTGTTTGCACATTTTTACCCACAATCATATTCTTTGTTTCCCTGTTTTTTCCTCTCGCAAGTTCTTCCCCTATGTTCTGTAGCACGAGGGAACGAACGAGCTACTTTGTTACAGTTGTAAATTATTAACGTGTTTTGATATTACTTATCATTTCGGGTAACTTTTGCAGGTGACCATTGCAGCAGCTGCCCTTGATTGCGGTTCAGCAGGAGACAATCTACAGCAGCGGGCATTTGCCCGTTTGCCCCTTCCCTTCCGCTTCGCGGTTTTTCTGCTGGAGCAAGAGTTGCCTATTAGAAGTTTACTCCCTATTTTGGTTTAGTCTGTAAAAAATGGCACATGGTTTCAACCTTTCTACCTGCTTGCAGTGCAGCCTGCCGGTGAGAGCGTTGCACAATAGGTATGTGACATCAGGAAGACGAAACGCTCCCGCGATGTGTGGCCCAATTCGACAACTGTAGATATTGGTGCTTTTTCACCTATCGGACAACACAGGCTTTTAAAACGCTCGTGCCACGTCCAGTCTGAGAGCTGATGCTTCTCGTACAACGGCCTTTATGTCTGCAGCGTGGCCCAGCATCGCTGCAAAAGGTTGACGGCTTCTTCGTAACCATCAAATGCTTCGAGATGCCCATTGGTGCTTTGGAGGACAATTGACTAGAACTCAGTCATCTGGAGTTAAAGACTTGCGTCGCTTGTCTTGCAGGAAATTCGGCTTGTCCGCTAAGAGAAACTCTTGTTTCTTCCCTCCAAACTTGTTTCAGCGCTGTAGAGTATTTTGCGGATTTAGATGAAGTTGTAAGAACGAAAATATCCAGATGAACAACATTCTACGTAATGACACCTGAGAGTGGATTGGCAAAGCTTGCGTTGGATGTCGCTGCGATTCTTCCTATGACTCATTCACGGTCCTTTTTTGATTTCGATCCAATCCAAAATTTGTCCAGTCGTGACGGCACCGGCAGCGGCGAAGTCCCAATTCTACGCTGAAGATCACATCACCGCATCATTCGTACTTCGAAAATGAAGAACATCAGAATCTGCTCTGCAGGGGTACTCCGCAGTGCTACGAGTTTTGCTATCGTCCGCTTCTACTGCTGCAACTACACCGACTGCCGCTATTTTTGTTTTAGAGCCGGCTGTAAGCGGCATGTGCTCTACCAAAAAGTGATGCAACTGCTTTGCTTAGTGGCTTTTTGGAGCCGATGTATGTCGTGGTAAGAAGGGGGTTTATCCATCGGCTTCAAGTGTTTCCTAGGGTCCTTGTGGGTGCTGTTACACTCGATCTGTTGGTTCCCGCTCCATATGCATCCAACAGCGTTCCATATGCGATTATAATGCCATTAAGCACGCACCACAGCTTTACCCACATTTTGGAAACCACTGTCGCCAGACGACTTCAGCAGAGTTTGGCTTTTGCAGAACCGTCCAAGCCTCGAATCTCGACCCACTGCACAGCCGTCTGTGGAAAGAATATTATTAGTTTTGTTTCAACTTCTCAAATTTCAAGGAACACAAAGCTAGCGGTCCAGCGAAAGGCTGATCTCCAGCAACTTGCCTAACATCTTTGGCCTGTCTGAACCTTTCGAGACCGTCCGCCAACCAAGAAAGTCATAAGCAGGCGGTAAGCCTCTTGAGAAAAATTCGGTATGTCGGCAAAGATACATGGTTCCTCCGACCTTCAAGAGCGAGCGTACTGCTACATGCAGTACTATAACGGGATGGCGCTGGGGCAAAAACACCCCCACAAAATTAACTTGCTTATTTTGGCAATAGGTGAATTCTAGATAAAGCGCAGCGTTGAGTGGAGCAATATTTACATTGAATAGTACAAGATGTACAGACTGCATGAAGGCGAACATAAGCTGCTTGCTGTACAAGTGAAAGCCTTCACGACCAGATCGCGGCTGTGCTTTACTGGTGGAGATGTGGTCTGGCGAGTTCTGCACTCTCCATGCGACAAAGAGTGCGTCAGTGTATCCACATGAGGAAGTTCTGTTTCCTGTTTTACTCTAAAACGCCCGGTTGATGGAAACGCAAGGCACCCATAGGAGGGGCAAACGTAGGTGCATTGAGTACTCTGCTACCTAGAAAAACAATTGAAAAGGCTACGCTACTACGCGATGTCACCACTTAGCATACGCGGAGCGCGACCCACGGGAGGCTGCGCATAATTTTTTATACTCATGGGATGCGAACAACATACAAGGAAAAATTCGTCCCCGGCAGTCCGGGAGAGAGACATGAAAATACAATAACTGGGATTGGGCTGGGGTAAGGCCCTCTTTCTGGTGCTGGAACGAACAGGAGGTTAAGCAACTGGACTAAACAGCTTCCTAAGCAGAGCGGTCTACAGCAGCTCCCGTTCCGTAGCAGTAATGATAGGGAAACTGGCGCCGTACTCGCGCGGAGAAGGCTGAGACCGAGCATTCGAATTCATGTTTCGCTATCATTCGTGGATTGCGAGAAAGCGTGAATAGACAGAACTGCCTGCGTCGCGCCTAGAGCCCTAGAGCCTCTAGGCGAATGTCAGGTGAATTGGGAGGAACATGCTTTTCCGTCGCGCTCATTTTCTAGTTTCCTATTCAAGCTCCATCTGAATTTTAAAAGATTCCCTTTTCAGTCGCTCATATCGTCCAGCAGGTTTTGGAGTTCTACGGGGTGCCATTGAAATGGACTCTCCCAGTGACTTCCTCAACAAACCTGCAAGCGGACCTCTGGAATATTGCCCTAGGGCCTCTACGCAATTGTCGGCTGAGCTCAAAAGAATACATTTTTCCATCGCGCTCATTTTCTAGTTTTCTGTTTCAGCTTCATCTGAAAAAAGTTTCCGTGTTCAGTCCGTGTATCATCCAGCAGGTTTTGGAGCTCTACAAGGTGCCACTGATACGGACTGTCCGAGTGGCTAAGTGCTGAGAGGCAAGTAAGCCAATCTGCAGAAAACAGTGGATCATGTACATTCAGGCTGGTATATTGCGTTAGTGTCTACTTGACTGCATTGGCGAATCAGATCGATGCGCTACGCCTGGGGCTGCCTGGGGGCGTACTGTACCGCCATCCGGATTTTTTCACCTTTTGCTATACATTAGGCTGTTTTTTGCAATTTTGCTTTTTGTATAGGCATGCAATTTCTATGCTGGGGACGGCAAATTTGCAGCAACACTGAGCAACATTATGCACAAAGATTGGATGCCCGCTCCATAGCATGGACTGTGCTTTGCCAAATTGCGCATCCTGCCTTCTGTTACGAGAGCAGTTTACCTGAAAAACTGTCTTTCAAGTATTCTGGTACATGTGGGGTGCCAACAGGACAGAGTCACTCTGCGGAACATGTCCCGGGCTTCAGATCCACCGGCCAGCTTCCGTTCACCGCCCACAAGACACAACTTCGGCGGCATTTCGTTCTTGCAGCATACACAACATGGGGGAACTTTGCACTCGTCTTCCGGAGTATCTCGAAGCCGCCCTCGATTGACGGTCGTCGCCTTTCACAAAGCACGAGTAGTGCTACTTTCTGTGTTAGCAGCTGTTGCCATCACGCTCGGTTGCTTCCGTGCCTTGTATGGGTGGGCGGGCAACAGACCTGCGCCTCGACAACTGGCAGCTAGCTTCCCTAGGACAAATGACGACCCAGAACTATCCGCCATACTCGACATGTGCTTGGACATGGAAGAGGAAAGGGGCAGCTCAACTCAGGTAGGTATGGTTCCGCCCCTTCAAGGGCATATCCCTTCCCCTGGAATTCCACCCGCAAGTCGACCCCATCAGCCTCCCCTCCAGAAATGGGATGATGAGCCAGCACGATGGTTGATTAACACAGTGGAGGTGGCAGAAAGTGGTCTTGCTGTAGAGAGGCTCCAGTATTCATTGACAATTTCCATAAGCGAGCCCTCTGAAGGTGGTTATTCTACCGCAGGGGCACACACTCAGTCACATGTTCCTTCATGGGCAGGCAGTTCGGCTTCATCAGATGATGTTGCGCTGAAGTCGTCGGTTGATATTGCCAAAGGTGCACACGCCGGCGGAGATACAGCCCTTGACAGCTCGAGTCGAGTACTTTATGAAGCCCACTCAACCACAGGGGCACACACTCAGTCAGATGTTCCTTCATGGGCAGGCAGTTGGGCTTCATCAGTTGACATTGCGCTGAAATCGTCGGTTGATATTGCCAAAGGTGCACACGCCGGCGGAGATACAGCCCTTGACAGCTCGAGTCGAGTATTTTATGAAGCCCACTCAAAGGTTGAGGAGCACCCTTTGTCCGAGGCAACTCAGCGTGGCTCGAGTAGTGCGCATCAAGCATTCGGCGATACAGCTTCATCACGGAAGAGACGCTTTGATGAATCTGATCTGAGCGATCCGCAGAGCCCAGTGGCTCATCAGGAGGGAGTAGAGGAAAAGAAAGCAAAAGAGAATGCGCCAACACGGCATGAAGAAGCCCCTGAAGTTATGAATAAATCTTCAGGATTCGGTGGCCCACTGCATGGTATTTCCCCTGGAGAGTTGCTACAATCCGTAGTACTTGGTAGCTATGAGGGTAGACAAGTTTCGTCTAACCGCCGGTCTTCTGAAGTGAGTGACTCAGGGTCGGAGGAGTCGGAGGAGTTGTTCGCTAAGCATCCTTTTTACAAGCTTCCGAAGCTGGCACCAGATCTTGAAACGAATATCTTCTGTGAAAAGGCAGCATTTTCCCGGAGCAATTTGAGTGGGCATACGTCGTTGCTTTTAATGGGCATCCGCTCAATTTTGAAAGCGGAATGGGTCAGCGAGGCGAAAGCAAAGAAACTCGCTTGTGACACTGAACGCGTAGTTTGCAACTTATTTTATCTCCAACGTGAGCCTGTGTCGCATTACATCGCCTCTAGAGCTGTTATAACTTTGGGGCAGCGGTTCCTTTTGTTAGATGCGCTTGTCAGCGCCTTGAGCGTTTTGAGTCCGGTGGTGAATGCATCTGCGTGGTGGTCCAAGCTGGTTACTGTGATCCCATCAGAAGTGCCGTTTAACCCTTCTCATACGACTTTTGAAAGGACAAGACAGTATGAAGCTCTCTCAAACCGGCTAATCGTAGCAATAGAAAGCTTGAAGAACGGCACTCGACTTGGACCAAGGGAAACTGTCGAGCTGAAGCGAGATCTTCTTTGCAGGAAAGACTCTCCTCCTTGGTTTAAAAAGCGTAGGTGGGGATATTGGCGAGAAGATGACGAAATGGAGTTGAAGTCTTCCAAAGAGTCGTCCTGCGGAAAGCCAGCACCTACGCAAGTAAGCGACAGCAGTTGGTCGCAGTGAATTTGCAGGTGTTGAGAACTGATCCGCCTTACTGAAGGTTGCCCCAAGAGTAATCAAACTGCGGATGGCGATTAACAGGGAAAATACTGTCCACGCCTTTCGTGGGTGCAAGCGCCTTTCCGTGTTTCGTTTGCACGGCTAGTGGTTGAAGTGCCTGTTTTTTATTTAAGGGGGGGGGACAGCTTTTGCGCATTTCTGACCCTGATTTCACGGGCAAACTCCATTGGACTACCCGCGAATGGATTATTGATTTTTTGGGACTTGCTACAACAGATACTACAGGCGATGCACGGCCACGGGCATCATATCTATGGTGCATTTAAGGAGCGCGCTTGCTCATGAGGCATTCATGGTCATCGCAGTTTGCTTGAGTCATTGGCGCGAAGAACCTTCTACTTGTGGGTTTAAATGAAGTAACAGGCTGCCTTCTGTGTCAGTATAACTTGTCGAAGGCTGAACACTAGTTTTGTAGCTGCTGTGTGTGGATGAAGTGTATGAGGAATCCAAATACGTTGCTTAACGGCGGACACATCAACAAAGGTAACAATGTTAGACATTTGCAGTATCAGGCACAAGTCAACTGTTACGTAAAATCGAGAGGGCAGATTGTGGCCTGCTCGCTGCTTTGAATTCAGCTCCCCCTGCAGATGCCGGTGCTGGATCAGCAGCTGAGATGGTTGTGCAACGCGAGCAACTTCGCGGTTCTGGAACCGCGCTGAAACCCAGAAAGCTGCGCGGAATTTATGCGCAGACGCTAAGCGCAGACTACTTTACTTTATTTCGAAGAAGGTTTCTGTGCTCATTTAGGTTGGCCAATCTCTTCCATGTGGAGATTGAGCTTGTTTCCCAGGCTTGCTGCGGGTCCAATCCCCACAAAATGCAGTGGACAGTGCACCTATTGCGTTTGTCATTGCCTCTTCCACTGTCACGCTTTATTGGGATGTACCAGTTGGCTCTGCGTCTCTTTGGCTGAAGGTCTGTGAAGCCTGTTTTTCTGAAGATCTATATGAATGCTGCCCCGAAAGAAAGATATACCGGTACTTGAAACCCACGAATTAGTGAAGGACAAATCTCAATCAAGCACTTCATGTTGCTCTTAGGTTTTTAGGCGTTGTACGCATGTCGAAGGAGTTAGGTTCACATAAGCACAGGCTAGCTTAAACGCACCTCCATGGGGTAAGCGCTGAACGAGCGGTCGCCGCTCGAGACGCAAAACGTTCACAGCGAGCAATAACTTAATCTCAAGGTCAGGCCGTATCTGTCGGCCTAGTTTTGACATGTGCGGACCCCGTTCTGGCTTATCCCGTTGCACAGTTCTGATCACCGCCCAACAAGAAAGGCCCCCAGCGTCGCGCTTTAGCTGTTTATTTTGTTGTTGCTTGTAGTACTGCCCTCATCAAATTTGAAGAAAAAGGAAAAACCTGCCTTCAGCGTGGTCGATAGCAAGCAAATTGGGCCTGCGCATACTGTTTTCATGTCGAAATAGCACGTGGGCCATTTTTGGCCGTAGCAGTGCTCCATGACGTAGGGCGCCGGTAGCGGGTGCAAGCTAGCATGCACCTTTTATTGTGATGGCCCAGACTACACTACATTGGCCAAAAAGAGACATTCTGACTTCTACGACGAAGGATGACTGAGATTTCCATGATCTAGCACCAGAGACATGGGTATTGGCCAGACATGGAAACTGAGCTACACTTCCAACAGAAGTTTACTCTGTAGGCCTTGATGCACCAGTCACACTGGGAAGTTGACCCCATCCGAATCTCTCACCACAAGCATAGTGAGGGAGGAGCTGATACATTTTACTGGCCTGCCTTGGCGTCCTGGTACTGCCACAAGCAGCAGTGCCTGGAAGGCGAAGTGGGTGGCATTCCTCATTTCGTGAGTATCGCAGCTCCGCAACTTGGCCAAGCTGTGGAGAGGCCGCCTACATCGGTGTATCCTGCCAAACACGGCCTGGCCTCTGGAATAGTCTGTATTTACTGCCTATGTTCGGTGTCTTGAGGGGTAGCGGTCCCCCAGGGTCATTCAATGTCCCCAGATGCAAGCCCTTGGCTGTTCATTTAACTCTTCCAATGCAGACTCACCTTTCTTAGTGCGTTCTACGCCCAAGGATCGAAGGGTAAATACCGAATCCTGAATTCGGTGGGGATCTTTTGCAAGGATAATGTAGCAGACTACGAAAGGCGCAGGTTACGGTGCCGGCCAGTGGAAGTGTGCTCCCTGCTCAAAGTCTGATTACAGGTGGCATTTTCAGGGCTGACTAAAGCATGTTCAGCCTATATATTTGTGGGGTTGTTTACCAGGATGAGCCTTAGGTGGTGCGATTGCTCGTCTTTCGAGGCACGTGACTGCTGAACAACATAAAACAACGACTTAATCGTCCAATTTAATGGTTGGGCACATTTATCGCGTCCTGTCCACTAGTTTCTCAAAATTACCTAGAGGATCACGTGTAACTGAGCACCTTTCGTCCTACATGTCCAACTTATTCTGGGTATATTGATTCGATTTTGACACCAAAGATAGCGCTTTTCATGAAAAAAGTCCAAATATAAGCATTTTAGCTCCAATTTCTATGGGGCACATCCATCTCTCACAGGACGTTTCCCCGTCTAAGAAAGGTTGTGTTGTACAGTCGAGTTCCAGTGTCTTTCGCTGGCAAGGCCCAGGCCTAATTGAGAAGGAGACTGAGCCTGATCGCCACAGGCGTTGCGTGGAAATGCCTTCCAATTATCACGCAAATCTATATATTCTGAATTATGTGACAATGAAGGCCATTTCCCGGCCACATTGTGTTCTGGCGCACTACAGCTAGTGCTCCGCAAACAAATGCTTGCTTCAGATCGTTGTATCTGTCTAGTTGCACTCTTCCATAAGATTCATGCAATCAACACTCCAATGCACAAAGTCCACATATCGTTTACGCACTTTAGGTCGGCCTAAAGTTCCCTACAGGCACTTAATTAGTGGTTCCGTTAATCCAGAGCTGTGCTAGGGCTAGCAGTTCACGGTTACTTATCGAAAATTATTTTGTGTGTGCTTAATGACCAGCTTTATAAAACCAGTCAGTTTTTGCTGGCACTTGAGAGCCTCAACACTCTCCTAGCAGGAGTAGTCTGTGTACGTCATGAAAAACGTACTGAGCTCGCAACGCTGTGACAATTTGTCGTCAATCAACTTTGCTTGCTTCTGTACGCTCCCTGCCTGCCCTAAAGAACTTTCAGCCAGCATCCTGACGAGTAATTGCGCTCGGTACCTGCCAGTGAGAGAACGCTCTCTAGCATTCTGAGCTGGCCGTCCTGTTTATTTCTTGGAATGCTTGGCTGCTTCATTTTACCAGAGAAGGCTTCAGTAGGGACGGTCGTTGGGCGCTCCTGCTTCCGCTTGGATCCACCCAGCGTCCGCCAGGAGGAGTGTGGTCCCTAGCGAATTATTCCATTTCACTACATTCTTGTGAGCATGTTTGAGTGTACGAGTTTGCTTCTTCACTCTAGGGTACTGTTTAACTCTAAAGTTTAAAGCAAATGGCTGTGTCTGGAGCATATGCTCCTGTCGCGATCTCACACTTTGTTGTGCCATTCGAATGTAGCCTGCTTTGACTTTCCCAACGCCTTTAAGTGCTCGGGGATAGCGTTACTCCCGGTGCATCGTGTTCGATATACGTGAGGGAGATCCATAAAACAGATTAAGTAGCCCTACTCCCCTTCCCGCTATGACGCCTCGCTCGACTGATGCTGCAGCCCGTGCCGCACGCTGCATGCAATTTTTCGTATGTCGATTCTTGACAATTTTCCTAGCAGCTTAATCTATGGTAGAGTTTAGAACCTAATATGGAACTATTGCTTAACGGCTACCAGTTACTTCTATGTATGGTGCCTCTGAGGTGCATTGGCCAGGCTGCCTATTTCAGCAGCTGGGGAAACAGAGGAGCTTGGATTTCGCGGTCCACAATTAGCAATCCCACGGTAAGGGGTCTCCTCCATAATTCATATGTGCGCGCTACTGAAGCATTCATGCAATGCACGCGAAGGAAGTACATACTGTTTCTGCTTCTACGTTTTTACTACACCATTTCGTTTGTTTGCAAACAAGTATCATATGCAGTATGCACCAAGCCAGCATGTAGTAGGTACAAGAGGACTCTAGGCTCCTAATTTCTTTTTTCTAAACAATAGTTTATGCTGCCGGACGCAAAACATCCGTTTTAAAGAGGCGAAGAAGCACATGGACGCTAGTAAACCATCTCCTTCATATTGAACAACAGTTCTCCTCCCAAATAAGTTAACAACAGCACATTGTGCACTTCACTATTCCAGAGGAGGAGTTCCCTGCGCTTAAGCGGCAAAACTTCTCTATCGAGACCTCATAGGAGCTAGCAGGTATGAAGCTGCTGCCATCTACAGATGGCAGCATATCTAGTGGAGTGGCGAGCGGCTAATGCAAAGAAGGCGACACCCAAAATCCTTACAAAGAGGGCACATTACTGCATCTGCAGCAGCGACGGCAACAAACGCCCCACCATCAACAGACGCCCCCACATGTAGAAGAAATGTACATATTTCGTCCTCCTTTTCCCCAGCGCTTTTGCAGCCATACAACAGTAAAGTGGTGTGAAGGCATCACATAAACTTTCTTGGTAATGCTACAGAATTTTGCCGTGTGTTACTCAAAAACGCGGAAGTGCGCGTGCTTCAAAATCGAAGATTCCACTTTTGGCGCTGTTTCGTTTGCTTTAGATTTCCTGAAGACTATGGACTTCAACAAGCAAAGATATCCCCATGGCTGCCTATTACCTTGCTAGGCTTGCTTTCATGGTGCTTGGGGGTAGACAGCAGCTTCAGTAGCCGGCTGCTATTGCTTTTACTGATTCTATTGCCTTAAAGCATATTGCCTCAAGAACATCACAACGTAGTGCTGATCCTGGAACGAAATAGCTATAGTGTTCAGCGACAAACGTGTTGGCCGACTACAGAACCCCAGAAATTTCTTTTCAAAAGCCAAACGACCCCCAAGTACTCGCGGGAGTCCGGAGGCATGGCTGCGCTTCCTGTCGATGCACAGGAATTCCGAGCTTGAATGAATACGTCTTCTGGAGTGCGAATATGTTTACCAAACTTCTCAAAAATCCAAACTTATTCGTCCTCTGCCGCAAGTTTTGCTCGTCTCGTTGCACGTTCCGAATTCTGAGAAGACCCTCTTGCCCTGCTGTCCTCTCCATCCAGCTCCTCTAATCTGCTGGAATTGTTTTCGCCTCCTTTGCTCCTCTCCTTTTTTCCATCCCTCAGAAGAATGGAATCAATGGCAGCGAGACGCTCCAGCAAGGGCGGATGGCTGTAGTGCCACCAAGAGTACCTGCATATCAATTCCACCCCCCAAAAAGCAAGCTAGCTGCCTGAAGACAATAGGCCCAAAGACGTCCTGCTGTTTCATGCTTTTTTGTTAGAAATAAAATACGAACGAGAACAGAAATCTTGAAGTGTGCTGATCCCTCCTAGGTGCTCCGTTGAAAACTTACCAGGGATCAGGGTCCAGAGTGGACTTGTTTTCTGTGTGAACTGTGCACAGGGCCTCCTTCAATTGCTCCCCGTAGTGGAGCCGGCAGGCGAAAGCGTCTGCTTGGAATTCATGTTTGCGAGATAGCAGAGTAGAAAACACTGACAAAACAGTGTTCACCTGCAAAATACCCCATAATAGAAGAGAAAGCGGTAAAAATAATCTGAAAAATCAGAGAGATGTACCTACGGAGGTTGGAATTCGCATCTATTGATGTGCCAACACAAACTGAGATACAAGTGAGACTGAGTCGCAGCCGTCTCTCCCCGTTAATGAAGACAGGCAGCATCAAAGCGTACGTACCGGAGCGAGCACATTGGCAAGGAGCATAAGACCAATGATGGGGGACTTGGCATCTGCCCCGTAGCCGAAACACTTGTAGAGGTGGTCGTTGTTCATTACTTTTCCATAGAGATAAAACGTAACGAATAGATTCATGAACACTAGAAGCAAACGCTGCATGAAGTGATTCATTTGCCAATGACCCAACTCGTGGCCTGCGCATGGTCAGCATAGTGTCCTCCATATCGTGGGCGTAAATTGGAATGCAGAGCAAAACGTTTATGCTGGCAACGAATACTAAAAAGGAAAACAGCTTGTTGATGGACCTTAAACATAATGTTACCTAAGCAGAAGTGCAACATGGCGTCAGCAGCCTTGACGCCAGCATAAAGTAGTGTTTTCAACAACGTAATGATGCACCCGTGTGCCCCTGCAAAGTTGACGTGCTCAGGCCTACTTTTAAAGAAGGTCCACCCCAGCTGCGATACTAAAGGCTGCACGTGCTTTTGCGCAAATTTCACGATTCACTCAAAAAACTTAATATTGCACAATTAGAATGTCTGAAAGGAGCGCAAGAGCAGCGGCAGCCCGCCTGCAGTTAGAATGTCTGAAAGGAGCGCAAGAGCAGCGGCAGCCCGCCTGCAGCTCAACCAACAGCAGCACTTACCAAGAATGGCAAGGATTTGGTCATGGGGCAGGTGCAGCAAGGTATCGAATATGACAATGCGCTTCCACCGCCAAAAACCATAGAAGTACGCGTTGCTATGGCTTGAACGCTTAGACCCATCCATCTCGTAAACTTCACAGAGAGGGAAGTTCAGTTGCTCAGCCTAGGGCAATGCAAACGACTCAAAAGCACGAACACACCAGATAAGCAATAAGCAGACTGGACTGAGTCCTAGCGGCCTGCACGATGCATCGAATATTTTGCAGGGCTGCTCGGTTGGAGTTGCTGGCAAACATCTAGTATGCATCATACGGCAGCCGCCCCTAATTGGCTGGAACCTTGAGATCCACTTCATGAGTGAGGGCCTTTTAAAGGTGCCTGCAGCTCTTACCAATGCATCAATTTTCGACCGTAGTTCTCTGTCTTCCAATACTTTAAATTTGTTAAAAAGAGGTGCGATGAAATTCGGGTATATTACGATCATTCCGAATGTTGTCAGCACAGAGAAACCCCAAAGCTGAAGCAGCAATTGAAGGAAAAAGCCTTTAAAACGCAGATGAAACATCCTTCTCGAAGTCGATGCAGGCATCCAACAAAGACGACTAACAGGTATGCCACGAATTCATGCACATACACAGAAAAATAATAAGACAGGGTGTATGCTCACCCAGAAATGAAAATTTTCTCCACCCCACTTGATAAGCCAGTTCACAGCGCACAGAATTGGCGCCCCGATAGCTGCAGTGAGCCCCAGTCCCAGTAGTTTGTCTTTAATGAAGAGTGCTGCGGTCTTTTTGTTGAATCCGTGCTTTTCCTCGACACAGAAATCACTGTAAACTTGAAAGGGGGTGGAAATACACTCTGAGACCAACCTCTGTATGCCCATGAAGGCCAGAGGACGAACAAATTCGCCGTCCCCTGCCCAGTGGCCGGCCAACCGCCAGCAAAAGGGCCCGAAGAAAAAAAGAGTGGACAGCACGGAAAGACCTGATTCGACAAGCGATGATACCATTGACAACTTGATCTTGTCCGTGTTGTAGGCCGTCACTGATGCATAGCTCTCCTGGGACATTCGCGGATTCAGTAGCGCTGGGGGTTTACTGCTGCTGTTATAGCGCCGCCATTGCCTCAGGCTCAAGTATTGCTCAAATGCCTCAATCGTAAGTGAGAAACCTACGTACACATGAAGCCACGGCACGTCTGAGAACCAACTGCCCGACAAGAGCCTCATGGTCAGAAGTTCAATATGCAAACATCCAAGTACACACGCTCAGAAGTGCTTAATTACGTAACGTTATACTAACACAGTGGAAAAATAGTAGATTTCAAGCAACCCCAGACACGAACACAAACGAAGAAAGAGGACGACAACGCATGCAGCGCTGGGGGACGGCGCTGCTACGCACGAAGCGTGTCCCTCTCAATGTGCTCTTCGTTTGAATCTTTCCTTTTCAGTCTCGGCTTATGTGCCGAATTTTGAAGGAGCTGAAGCGGGGTTGGGGAGTTGCGAGAGTTAAATTTCAAGACTGATCAAGTTTCCCCTGCTGAGTCCGCAACCTTGCCTCCCAGATTTCTGTGAAGTGCATCTGTCTCAATGCGCGCTGTGCCAAAGGTAAAATTAGGCCATCTGGACAAGTCGGATCTAGTTTTGGTCCACCGTCAGTGCCGCTGCATCCTACTCATTCAACGATGTTCAGGGCGCATCTATCGGTACATCGGATCCTGGTGCGAAGAGCCGCCACTAATGCTGTGCAAGGTTGCATTTACCATGCACGTCAACCTTGGCACAAGGCGCATTTTTCTTCTAACGACCCACCTACACCGTGTCCCTCCGGTCGAGTCTCAGTGGGGCTGAAACTAACCCTTACCTTTTGTTGATTGCCATTAATTTTCCTTTGCCTTTAGTGTTTTCCCGAGCCGCGTATCTCTGTATACAAATGTGTACTTGAAAGCAATGGTGGTCTGGCTACAGACGGCTGTGTTTCTTGGCCCTTGCTTCAAACGTACCACCACACGGTGGCTTGTCCACAAGAACTGGAGAGGGCTACGAGCAGATAAGGGAGTTGCTGAATCCAGACAAATTAATTTTTGAATCACGCGTAGGACAGCTTTTTTAAAAGTGTGGAACCAGGTGCATGTATGACACAGTGTAGGGAGAGGGTTCACTTTGCAGGCAGACTGGACGTTCGCTGGAGTCTGTACTGAAGAGTGTACACTTGTGCGAAAGAGGAAATGAAGCGGCAACCGGCAAGTATGCGGCAGGTATGCGCCGCAAGAAAGACAATTCAGGGCTGCTTCATCGTAATGCCTCTGCAGAGGACGGTGACTGGAATAACTATTCGCGACGCTTGGATGTCTAGATTATCGAGTTCGTCGCTGTTCATGTTTGTTTGCTAACCGGTGCTGTAGTCTCTGTGGTGAAGGCGCTATGCAGCAGGGTTATACATGGTTGATTGAAGGGCTGCCGACGGAAGATGCCCTATATACATATAATATATGCATATATATATATATATATATATATATATATATATATATATATATATATATATATATATAATATGTATCACCGTAGTGGGAGTCGGTAGAAGTCCGGTTTTCCTTCCGTTGATACTTGCTTTGAAGAGTTCTGCTGATTCGGCGTTTGCAACAGAAACTATTCGGTTTTACTATCACCTCATGGAAATCACCGGCAATCGAATCGAGCATGTGTGCTTTACATCACCATGGATAATCTCTCAATAATATGGCGTTGCCTTCGGGATTTCTACAAGCGCACTGTTGAGGTAGAGGGCATTTGTTATCGCACATTCCCTTCCTTTTTTCCAGACTTATCGCTTTGTCTGCGTAACCTGGCAGGTGAATAGGCATGAGCTCACCAAAGCCTAGGCGTTGACGCATTCCGACTTGTTCCACTAGGGAACCTTCGCAAAATCATGAGGTGACGACACCTCGAAGATTTTTAAAATGAACACTATGAACACGGCAAACATAGGGCTACGGGAGGCCATCGTTGTACGCATAGAGTCAAATGCTAAGTGCTCATGGCGCATAATTTGCCATGTGCTCTGAGACAATGTCCTGGATTCTTATGCATCGAAGACAATCATCCCCAACTTTGCGAACGTTGCGCGTTTTTCGGTGTAGTGTAGGCGCGTGAAGCAGAGTTTCCGTCTGTGCAGGCACACTGTTCGACGCCTTGCTCTGTCATCGCCACTAAATCCTAATTCTGTGCAGCACGTCGCAGTACGTGCTGTCGTGGCATTGGTGGCCACAGGCGCTGACGACTATCGGGCAACGCGCAGCGCCTCCTACTAAAGCTGCGTGGCATGTAGGGACGGTTGGAGGGGCTCACTATGGTGGATTATGCAAAACATATTCTCGGCACGTTGCAAATGTATTTAGTCTGTGTTCTTTGACGGCCTTCAGTTTAGGGCAAAGCATTGTGAGCAATTCAGTCGCGACTTTCCAAACACTTCTTGAAGGACAGTTTGCAGTTATTCCGCAATGTAGCTGCAGCAACGGGCAATCAAGACGGCAAAGACTTGTCCTCGGTGCAGCGCAGTCTCAATACAGATCTTACTGTTTCGTTTTCATTGTTGCTGTCTTTCCCAGTCCAATACGTTTCCAAAGCATATCCGACTTTATCTCTTTTCATCACCATCTTCCTGCCTGCCTAGCTCGTTAACTCCATCGGTTTCTGGTGCACTCGACATATGTGTTTCTTTCGGCAGGGCACCTCGTTTACCTGGAGTCATTCCTATTCTTTTCTTCCGTTTGCTATCTGCCATCATTCTTTGCCTGCTCCCCCTGCATCTCTTCCTGCCCTTCTAGCACTTTTTACTACTTTTTGCCGACGCTGGTGATGCTACCGCTGCCTTACCTTGTGCTTCCGTCGCGCTTGCTGTCTCGGTTGTTCCTGTTGCTGCTTCTGCTGCCGTCACCGCATTGTGAGCATGCCGGCTGCTGGTGCATCAGCAGGTGCAGCTGGCGCAGCAGACGCAACAGCACGAACAACAACGGCAGATTGCTCTCCGGAAAATTCTCCGCAATCTGCTGTTTTAGTTGCTTGATTCGTGCATGAAGGCTTCAAGAGAAAACAGCGTGTGAAAATTCGGCACCCTCCGAGTCCAACACGTCTTGAGGCGAGGAGAGGATCGCCGCTTGAAACCCGGCAACTTTATCCATCTTCATCTTCAGGGTTCTCACAACCGCTAAAACCACTTTCAACATCCTGAAAACGCGTGAGCACTTTCTGGGAGGTGAGACAAAAACTGGAACAGCCAGGAAACCAACGCCGTGGAGGACGAATAGAGAATCTTGCGGTCCAACAGGGCAGTTAGCACAAGTTACCCTGCCGAAGGCAAAGAATAAGCAATCGGCCAAAATCTGTTAGACAATACAATTGAAACTCTGTAAACTTATTGAGAGCGTCACACTTGAGGCCACGCTCCTTCTGTAGTGCTTAACGTGCATGGTGCCTGAGCTGGAGCCAAGCAATTTTTTCAGGGCAACACACGTAGTTAGCGTTATGCATTTGGGTAGCTAAGGCTCTTAAGGCTGTTATTGATGCTCTAGGGACCTCCAAGACTTCGAGGCTTTCTCTAATGGCTAGGACCGCCAGTGTGTTTAATCCGGTGGGAACATGGCCTTTCCTAACGAGCTTGTGAACGTTTCTTGTTTGCCGGAATCTTAAAGCGAGGTGGCGCAGCTACTAGATTTGCGACTACACATGCTCATGCAACGCGTTTTCCAGCACTACCGGTGACTTCTACTGATTGCCTGTGTTAGGAACACTAACTGCCGCCAAGAGTCGCCTCCCGAGGCTGATATTTGCAGATCATGGAGGCGCATTTGAGAAAAGAAAGCATCATGTGGGGGCACAGTCAAAAGAAAATTCAAAATTCAACCTCCTGAGCATTCTGTGTTTCAGAAGCTGCGTTGCATCTCTCTTACTGCATCTTGGCTTGGTGGTTGCGGAGCGTGCCTGCACCCGATCACGGCATCGGGCCATCTGCTCCACGCAGTCACAATGCCCATAAAGACGTCCAAAGAGCACTATTTATATTCCAAAATTTATAGCAGACTTTCCTGTTGTTTTATGTGTCAAAAGTGTACAGGAAATGTCGCTTCGCTTGCGGCAAAATCGGGCTTGCCGTGATGCGTGTTGAAACATCCCGACGTAGCAGTGCAGCCTCAGCGTTCTGTATTACCCATCATCGTGCATCCATGCTGTAATTCACTTGACATCCTTGACGTTTTACAATACTACGCATATACCTCCCCAATTACTCTTTTGTGACAGTTTCAACTGTGGGTGCTTTACTATCCATTCCTACTCAATGAGCATGTGTGCAATTCCTGCAATTCCGTGATAACGAGCAGCAATGGGCAATGCCACGGGACCCCAACTACAGCCGTAGCTTCAACAACCCAAAGAAGGAACAAGCTTGAAAGACAATAAACTATGTATTAAGGGTTTCGACTACTAAAGGGGGGCAGCTGAATAGAGTGGGAACATGAATCTTTCTACAAATGTAGGCAGCTCACCGCAACCTTGCCCGGGTTATTCGTAAACAGACTGTATATGCAAATTTAGCAGAGTTAATTTAAGGCAGATCTATCAAACATATTTTTGTACTTTGATTATTGCTTGTTGATAACAAGAGCTATGTACGATCAATGAGGTTATGGAATGCTCTTGATCTCATGCAACTGGAAAACTCTGCTCATCTAGCCAGCCCCACCTCTATGACAACAAGCTTAGCTTATGTTTCGATCTCAGGGTAGTTTAAATGCCGTTTTTTGGTCCAACGGAAACATTTTAATGCTCTGTTTATCACGATGAGTGAAACAGGGCAGTTTGTCAGCGACTTCTTGTCGCTTGCAGGAGGCGCAAACGGCGGTCCTGGGGCAGCGAATGCTAATATTCGCTTTTCTGAAGTGCAGAGAGAATCTATAGGTACCACATCGGTCAAACCTGCAGTGGGAAAAAGGGGCGAGCCCACACATACAGCTGCCATTGCTGGATCCCTGCTAGTCCTATCACTTGCCATTTCATTTATGATATTTCAATGTCTTGCCGCTCTCAAAACCAGAAGAAGAACTGCAACAATCAAGCGGAGTCTTTCAACAAACAGCCCCAACCTTTGTGCTGTACGTTCTTGTCCAAGAAGTGTATATCGCGCCGCAATAAGGTGTGGTGCAGCGGCCTGACCTAGCGTGAAATTG